TCTTGTACTTGAGTAAAAGTAGAAGTACTCAGATCTTGTACTTGAGTAAAAGTAGAAGTACGCAGATATTGTACTTGAGTAAAAGTAGAAGTACTCGGGTCTTGTACTTGAGTAAAAGTAGAAGCAAACAGATCTTGTACTAGATTAAAAGTAGAAGTAGCCTACTCAAATCTTGTACTTGAGTAAAAGTAGAAGCACTCAGGTCTTGTACTTGAGTAAAAGTAGAAGTACTCAGATCTTGTACTTGAGTCAAAGTAGAAANGCTTAAGGGAAGTGAGATGTAGGTAGGGATGGGTATCGTTAAGGTTTTAACGGTACTACTACTTTTATCGATACCGCTTATCGATAAGGTCCTTTAACGGTACTCCGTTAAAGGACCTTATCGATAAGCGGTATCGATAAAAGTAGTAGTACCGTTAAAACCTTAACGATACCCATCCCTACCTACATCTCACTTCCCTTAAGCTATTCTAACACAGTGCTGATAAATGCTGAAATATCTTCTGCCATGATAAGATGCAGGTGTAGCTGCAGTAGAAACCAAAGTCCATGCCATAAAGATACCCTGACCAGGAGAATATAGTACAGGTGTTCCCTTGACAACTTGTCCGTCTGTCTATTGAAGAAGATGCCAGGCAGTCATTTCCCCCGCTCTTAACTCTCGTTCAGAGTCCTTCTCTAGCAGAGATGAGGGTGAATGCTGACTGAAGTGGGATGCACAGAAACAAAGGAAGCTCAGTCTGTGCTTCAGATGCAGCTCCAGGAGCAAACGGTCAGCAGTAATTGCACTGGCTTCTCTCTGTAACCATGAAAGTGTTCCCTGCCCTTGTTCTGCCCCGTCCTCAGTCTGAGCTCTCTGTTCATTATCCCATTCAGCTTTATTTGAACATCTATAACTTAAACAGGTTTAAATGAGCCACCTGTGTGGAGGGACACAGAGGGATGTCGAAGGGTTTAAGAACAACCTGTCCAACAAAACAGAGATGCATTAGTGGTAATCCTTCCTCAAGGCCATTTACAATTTTACATGTATCTCCTTCTACCTTGCAGAATCAGAATCAGAATGTCTCTTTGTAAAATCACTTCTCCCTAGCTTTCTTTTGTAATGCTTTAATGCATTTTACTTTCACTTCAACTGCTTCCACTTTAAATGTCCCTATCTCCTGCTCTTTCTATTTTATTTCACATGATTTGACTGACTGTGACCCTTAAATAGCATAAAGGGCACATAATGGGAAATGCTTGTTCTAGTGAAAGTGGATTTTCTTTTGTTAGACATGTTTTGTTACAACTAAGGAACAATGTGTACGTTATCATTTGTACCTTAACAAATTATATGTCTCTGTAAATGTTTCAACGTTTCCCAATGTAAATGTGATTCATCGTATATAAAAAACGTGTTCCCAATACTCAAGAACAGAAACGTTCTTCAATGAAGATTCTTGTAACTTATCATCCTGACCTTCTCCCTAACAACACAATACTGTTTGCAGCTAATCAGATATGTATTTTGCTTTGTGATCTTTAAAAATGTATCTTAAGGCGCGTTCACACCAAGTACTTTTCCCACAAAGGTTCCTAAGAACTACGATTTAGTTGCGTTCACACCAAAAAGTCCCAGGAACTAAATTAGTTCTAGAGAACCTTTTTTACCCCCTTTTCAGTCCCTGCTAGAGAGCAGGGACTTTCGTGGGAGAAAAAGGTTCCTATGTCTGATTGGCTGGGCGGAATGCAAACCACGCCCCGTCAAACTCCCAAAAACTTTTGTGAAGCCGCCATTTTATTATCCTCGCATTGCATTATTAGCATTAGCCCAGCGCAGAAACGCAGAGAGACTAACTTATGTCAACACAAAATAAAACATGGGAGCGGTGGAGATGAGGAGGTGTCGGCGTTCTGGCCGTTTACTCGGAAGGCTTCAGTAGAAGCTGCTGGGAGTCCCAGCAGCTTCTACTGAAGCCAGTCCCTAACTCCGGGGACTTCCGGCCGGGGATTTTGGGCGGCAGTATACGCCGTGAAGTTGTTTGCGGCCTGCCAGTAAACCCAAAGCAGAAGATGAAGAAGAAGTGACGTCAGCGGCTTCATTTGCCTAATCCACCTCCAAGGACTTATTTCCGGTGTGAACGCGATCTGTACTTAGTTCATGAGAACTAAAGAGTTCTCAGGAACCTTTATGGGAAAATAACTTGGTGTGCCTTTTTAGATTGTTCACATCAATTATAGGGTCAGTCAATTGATTAGTGTGAAAAGACAGCATATAGTTTCTCCTGTAAAGATGTGAGAAAGCCTCACAGTCACTGACTTAGTCAACACCTTCCTGCTTTAGTGTGTATTCAACAGTAGGTCTATTATCCCTGTTTTCATTGCCTCTGCTGACACCAGTGAGCCTTGTTTTAGGTTCATTGCTGTCCTGCCTCACTCTGGCAGCCCAGTCAATGAGCAGGTGTTGCATTGCTTTGGCCCCTCAGACCTCTGACCCCTCCCAGTCAGTCAGATGGGCCCTTCTACTCGGCCAAGTTTATTTGACCCCTTCTGGCCCCTCACCATCCACTGTATTGCACCCAGCAACATAATTACACAGAGCACCACCTGAACGATCAAGGAGTATGCCGGATGATTTAATGAAGCAAAGGCAGTGCTGGGTAAATACCAAGCACTACTCTTGTGTGACAATACAAAACGATGAAGGAAGCTTCAATTACACTTATCACACTTTTTATCCATTTTTTCTGTAAGGTTAAAGTTGATATTGACCACCAGAGGGCGGAACATAAACAACAGAGAAACAAATGATCCATCATATACTTATAGTTTTTTTTTTATCTCTTTATGCTTGTAAAGACGTTTGCATTGACATCTAGCAACCTGAGAAATACAGAGAACAAATGTTGGGTAAAAAAGCCCTTTATTGACTCTTTAAAAGTGATGATGTGGTTGGACTACTGTCAATATTTCACAGTGGCCAGGTAAGTGTACTACAACTACCTTGTGAAATATATGTATGGTAAATGTTGCTTAATGCAGTAAATGTCCCTGTTGTCTTCTCCCATTAGTGTCTCAGATGGGTGTAGCGCAGGGACACAACATGTGTCCAGACCCGGGCATCCCAGATCGAGGAAAAAGAAAAGGCACAGACTACGGGTAAAAGCATGATTACAGGATGATTCAATAAGCACACTGTTTAGTAGCACTTGTGACTGAACAAGTACAGGTTGATGGAGATAATGTCATTAATAACTATTATGTTTTTTTTGCTAAGACTTTGCCTTTCTTTGAGAAAAAAAAGATAATGACAATATTAGGCTATGTCATCTAGAGGAGGGGTGTCAAACTGAAGACCCGGGGGCCACATCCGGCCCGCAACTTCATTTAATGTGGCTCCACAAGAGCTCTGATAGAATATAATACGTTTATTATACGGTTACATGTCGATTTACAGAAGCACGTTGCCCATAAACTACATGTCCCACAATGCATCTCAAATATGAATTTTGTTCAGAATTTGACATTTTTGCTTCAACATTTCAATTTTCTTTTACATTTTCACATTTTTTCCAGAATTTGGCTTTTAAAAAAATATCATTTTGTGACATTCTCACTGACGAGACTTCCAATTATTTGCCCTAGAATTCTGCTTTCAGATGTAGTTAATTACGAAGTTATTAACCTATCCCATAATAATCCAATGCAGAGGCAATCATGTAATTTATAAAACGGACAAGTCAAATCAAGCAATCTGATTGGTTCTTAGCCGTGATATACTGAGCGTATACCACGGGTAGAATTGTAAGTTACTTTTCACAACAAGTCAGTATCCCTCCGCGTCGGAGCAAAAAAAGTATACCGTTGGGCTGAAAAGCAAACTGCCTGCAGTTTGCTTTTCATACTGGAACAAGAAAGCAGCGGAGAAGTAACGGGGCAGAAGCCCTCCTTTTTGACGCAGCGGTCCAGACATAGACATCAAACGGCAAAACATATTCAGTGTGCAGTTCCTTTGGCATTAGGGCAGGGATATCTAGATACTTTTGAAGGTTTAACATAATGAATTGTGCTACTTTTAAAGCAAGCAACGATGTTTTCAAATCTGTAATCAAAGAGGTCCGCAAAAGCCCTATCGACCAATCAGATTGCTTGATTTGACTTGTCAGTTTTATAAATATATTTAAATTTCTTCCGTTACGAAACAAACTTACAAAGCATAAAATGGAAACATTTAAGATTAACTTCGACCTCCGGGGGGGTGTTACTATAGAATGGAGGAGTGGATTGAGCAGTGGCTATCTCCAGAAAAAAAAGCACCTAAACTACGACATGCAGAGCTACGTGAAGAGCAGGTAGACCAACTGGAAAAGTAGCACCATTCAAAAGCTTTCTGATGCGGGTCTTGAAACAAAGCATAGAAATTATGACCGTTAGTGGCCACAGGTGCGAAAGCTCTCTCCAGAGTTACTGGAAGCCCAATCTCGGGGACCGGAGAAAGTGGAGCAATATTCTCGCCACGCCAAGCAACAGCCTAGAAGAACCTCAACCTATACAAGTGACCACGTAAGCCATGCTACTGATGCTGGACAGTTTTTCAGTGGATGCACAATAAACAGCAACATACACATTAATGTAAATAAACAGCCAAATAATGGATCAACGCTCTCTGTCTAATATGTTCGCTCGCTGTTAGTGTTGTTGCATAGCAACCACCTCGCACTATTTTTTGTGCAGAAGGCAAAGGAGGGACTATTTTATTTTGAACATCATTATTTACTAATAAAAACTATTTAAATTAGAGTGTGTATTTTTCTTTCATATTGCCACACTTGGAAACCGTTTTATAAAAGCAATAGCTCACTTCAGGCCGTGATATATGCTCATTATATCACAGCTAAGGGGGTTGTCGACCCTCCGCTTCGCGTCGGGCCGAACCACGCCCCTTAGCTGTGATATAATGAGCATATACCACGGCCTGTCGTGAGCTATTGCTTAAATATATATTATTCTGAAATGGACCAATCTGCACAATGACTACTTTTACTGTCGCTACTTTCACTATATTTTGATGAGAATACTTTTCTACTTATACTTGAGGAACATTTTTGAATGCAGGACTTTTACTGTAACAGAGTATTCCTACACTCTGGTACTTCTACTTTTACTCAAGTACAAGATCTGAGTACTTCT